CTCGAACGGATCACGCGTTACCATCGATCGATATCGAATCGAATGTCAATGCGATTCGTATCTGTCTTCGCACTGGAAACGAGGGTAAACTATTACAGGATTAATTCCGTTGTTCTGCTCCGTTTCCTCGTTACAACACGTACGAACCGCGCGTACAGCAACGATTCCTGCCTTTACGGTAGAAAGTCAACAATACCTCGCTCGAAAACTACGAACATCGGGTATAACGTACGAACGTAACCCCTCCCCCGTTTCTTTGTTCGCGCGATCGTTTCCAGGTACATACACCACACGCGCAAAATTGCTGCAACAACTGTTCACTGAAACGGGTAAATAAGCGATCGCTATCGTTGCAGAAATTGCACTTGACTGCCAGTTTAAATCCCTTTGAGGATCGAACAAACATCGAACTGACACATGTCAGAAAACTGAAGCGTTATGCGATCTCTTTCTACGGATATCGATGTAACCTTCGCGGCACATCAAGTATTATGTTCGTTTTAAATTCTGGTTAACTAAAAGGGAGAATAATAATTACAAGCATTTTATTTGATACTATAGACGCGGCGAGTTGGATGTGATGATGCTGTATTTATTTTGGTGATCACAAATTTTCACTGATAACTACTTTTCTTCAGGAATTTTGGTGTTATTACGGGTCCTTTCTTCTGAAACTGTTGTCTGGCGCAGAGCGTCACCGTGAGCTCACTGTTTGCAATAAACACTCGCAGAGGGACGCGAACACGCGAGGCGACCAGCTCGCCGCACCGTGGTCGGCCAGGTAGTGACTCACTAGCCGCCAGTAGAAAATAAATATTACGGAATCGTGTGCCGTACTTCCCAGCCAGGTAGAGATTCTCCCACCTCCGAGACTCTGGCTGAAAGTAATTCGTTCTACTCGAGCTTGTTCCGCTACGAAAACGTTCACTAACACTGCTCAAATTCGATCCAGTACGATTATCTCGATTTTCATCGTTCGACTCGCCGCATACTCCAAAATTACCTACTTCGATTATCCGTCGTATAGCGACATTCACTTCACATCGCGTACACGTAACATTGACTTTTTCGAATAATAATTGTGCTGGAACACTCAGAATAATTATGAAAATATAATGAAGAGAGCTTAAGTATTCATACACGCGAGACAATCGACCTGTCGACCTTCCCCTCTAAAGGCATACTAACCTCTCCCTTGTCGGTACCCACCACCCAACCGTTTCCCCCACCACGTGACCCACCTGGTCGAACCGCCACCTGACTCGATCTCACGAAATCGATGGATCGTGTTTAATGCACGATCCTCCCACGCTTAACGTTGACAATTTTCAGCTGCTTTAAATCCCTAAAACAAAAATTTCAATAATAATTAAAATGCTCCTAAAATATTTATATTTGAATTTCAAGTTGAAGTAGTATAGATAAATAATTATACACACATGAGTAATAATAAAATATATTGCCTAGATCTTTCCAAGGTAGAAAATACGTTCCATGCGAAATGACTCACAATCAGATAGTTTCACTATAATTCCTACGTGAAATCGAACGAATGCGTAAAACAAAATATCATCGTGCAAAAAGAAAGACTGTATTAGCATACTCTAGATTTATAAACTATACGATAATAAACTGTACGATGAAACGATCAAATTATTGTATAAAATTATTAATAATCGTTTGGTTAATTACAAGTGTAAGCAATAGCGGAATGTGAGACTCATTAAGCGCTCTAATTAGCAATGTAATCGTACAGATTTAATAACCATTGGTTATCATTAAAACAAGTTACACCATCTGGTGGTCTTGCGAGCAACTGGTTTTATCAGTATATCATTTATTGTTAGATAAACGTTAGCGATTCGTTTGATATTTCTCTTGCAATGATACTTTTTTGCAATCAATCTGTTATTATATCCGTTAAGCGATTCGCGTGATGCCGTTATATGGTGAAATCAAAAATCCGGTTACCATACACCCCTGAGAGGGTGCTTGGCAACCGGAAGCACCAACAAGAACAACGGTGCCGCACGTACAGCTGGCAAAGGTAATACAGGGTGGCAGATGTCTTTCTCAAATGTCGCTGTTGAATATCATCGAGGGTCACGTCTGGAAAGTGTTTTCCTCCCCTCCGTGGGTCCTCGACATCATCGACGTGGACGACGAGGAAGATACAGACGAACGCGTTGACAACTTTTCGAATCGTCATTGATTAGTCGAACGTTCACTTTCTAATAAATGTTTGACAAATTCTGAATCTCGGTAACCTTTACACTCGGGTGTCAATTGATAGAAACAACCTTACGCAACAGGTAGTATGTAAATTTAAATAACACTTAACGATTAATCATCGTTAATTGAAATCCTTCCGAAGGATTACCGAATGTTTCTCTATTCTGCAAGAATTAAAGGCTAATAAAATGGCACACAAAACGCACCACGCTGCGAACGAAACGGAGCTCGAGACGATGGCACAAACGGAACTCTCAAGGCTGAAGAGGCAATACAGGATAATGGAGAACGACCGGGTCGCTTGCGTGGAGGATGCGAAATTACAGCTTCGTAATCAATTGAACATAATCGACCGTTTGGAGTACGAGAAGGCGGAGCTGCTTCTTCGTATTAAAACCGCCAGCTCGAAAACGTTTATCCGTCAGGATAAAGAAATGGAGGAGAAGCTCAAGTGTTTGTTAGAGATGCAAGAAAAATATGAGAATATGATTGAAACAGAGAAGCAGGAAATAAACGAACTCGACGATCATATCCGCAAGGTTTGCCGATACTTCGATCGCTGTCCCAAAATCTCTGCTTAATTGTTTTCTTTGCAGTTAACGAAGGAAACCACGTACTTGAAATCAAAAGTTCGAACGGATATGCAACTGAAGGAGTTGTCTCTACGACAAGACAGAGTGTCTTCGATGTTGGAGAATCGTTTGGAAGTGGCGACAAAAAGATTCAACGTTGTAATTACTCAAAATGCGAAACTTCGTGAAGAAATCGAAGCGTTGCTCATCGAAAGGACCCAATTCACTACGCTTTGGAATAAACTTATCAATCAGTTGAATACTGGGAAGCAAATTATTAACGATTTGGTAGAACAAACTACCATCGCGTTTAATCAAAGGGACGAAGAGATGAATAAGATTCAAGCGCTTCGCGATAGGTATTAATATTTATCGTACCCTAAAAATGTTGCTATAAAATAAAATCATGGAACTGTGCTACTGTGCACGGCGATATTCGAAGAACAGCCGAGAAAGTTGCAAAAGATCGGATCGTTGTCCCCATAACTTTGAGAGTTGCGTTAACGACCTGAAAGTTATTCGTATTTCGTGTAGAATGATTTATACTTTTAGTCGAAGTAGAAACTCGGAACCGAGTGCAATGGCGCGTGATAGTATCCGCCGATCAACCTTCTCGATTCCATTCATCCAATATTTTTATTTGTAGGCTTGTTAATCCACTTGCACTTTCATCGCTTCCGTCAACAGTCTAATCTCTATCATTTTTCTTTCAGAGGAATAAGAGATTTGAAGGCGCACGTGTCAGAAATGTGCGAACTACAAAGAACTTTGGACAACGAGATGAAATTGCAAGAATTCCTTGGAGTAAAGGGACAGTATCGCGAGATGGTCGATTTAAATATCAAACGAGAAGCCGAAAGGAAAGCGAAGCTGGAAGAGAAACAAAATAAGATTGCTTCTTATAAAGAAATTTTGTACATGATCAAAGAATTTACTGGTATCCCTTTTCTTTTCTTTTCTTTTCATTCATTTTCAAAATGATTGAGAAATTAATGTTTGCATCTTCGTATTAGGCGAAGAAGAGATCGACAAACTGATCGCGCATTTTATCAAACAAGAGGAAGAAAACTTTGCTCTCTTCAGTTACGTGAACGAATTAAACGATGAGCTGGACGGCCTCCAAGCGAGGATGTCCCAGTTGACAACAGCTATCGAGGAAGCACGTGTTCTGTTCGAACATCGTGGCCACGAACAGACTGAGACATTGGAGAAGCTTAAGAAAGAACTCGAAGAGCAAACTGTTCTTGCTGATACGTCTGAAGAAAGTCTGATACAGGTGACGCTTCTCTAATCTCATCGAATATCGAAAACCTATAAAATCAGATTCCTAGATTAAGATCCTTTCTGTTCCTTTAGAAATCATTTCTTTTTCACCCTTGATCGATCTACGAATGATTTTATTACATTTGTTCCAGTGTGACGACGTAATGGAGAAGCTACTGAAGGGAATCGATTCCCTGTTCAAAGCGATTCGTTGTGACAATTCACCGATCCTCGAACTACTAGGTGATCATGATCAGATAACAAGAAACAACGTCATGTTGTACTTAGGAATTATCGAGAAACGTATAACACATATGTTCCACAAAGTTTATTGGATAGATAAAGCGACGAAGGCGCAACATTTGCGACTCGATGAGGAAAAGAGGCCCAAATTGAAAGTACCTCCTATTGAATACATTGCCCCTACCCAGCCTTGTGCCCTGTGAGTCCTTATTTCCTACCTCTATATACCTATGTATTTTTTTATTTTAAAATACTTCCCTTTAATGTTTCCTGAATATCCCCCTATCTTGAAAAATTGCACAGATGCGTCGAGAAAGCAGAATTACAAATCGTGTCCGAAGGATTGGAACGACCATTGACACGCGATGAAGCCACTAAAAAGTTGAAAGAAAGGCTCCAAGAAGACTATTCAGAACTTCTGCATAACATATCAGGTTGTCACTTACCGGCAGCTAGGAAAATCATACAAAAACGATATCAATAAAGTGATCACGGAGAGTTCTTAAACTGAGTACAGAATCATCAATCTTCATAGGCGAGGAAGAATTTTAACATTCATATTTTTTACATCCGTATAGCGAATATATTTATGGCACAATGATGATCGCTATCTTATGTGATTTATAAAATATTAACTATAGTTTGTTTATAACCATCGTTTTAGTATTATTTTAATACAGTAACATAGCATTTATGAGTATTTACTTTATTACTTTGCGATCAAATATATTTATTTACAAGGAATTGAAAATCTTCTTTCAAGGCTTTCGTACCTCTTCCTTCGGTGCACGTTTTTTAGCGACTTTGATCAGTCGTTTTAGTTCACGGATCGTTTGTTTGATTTGATTCAATTGTTGCTCGACATCGTCTTTACTGACGGTAACGGCAATACCCTTTCTCTTACAGATCTGTTGATACAGATTCCAGCAACAAGTCTTTACCTGCGTGTGCTCTAGATTTTTCTCCGCCGTAGTTACTTTTATCTTAGAGACGATCGTCTCCCATTTACGGGCTCGCGCTTCTGCCCTGTCGCGTCTAGCTTGTAATTGCGCTAATTGATTATTCAATCCCATGAATTTTTCGGTCTTTGATTCCGTCATGTGATGCTGTAACGAAACAGAGATTTCCTCTTGTCATTATGTAATTACAAGCGAAAGGCTGAATAAATTTTACACTCTAAAAAAAAAAAACAATTACCAGTTCCGTTCCCTGATGCTCCAATATTTGAAGATTCTTATCTTGGTGCTCGGCTAAAATCATTCGTGCCTCCATTAAAGTTTCATAACGATTAAAAATTTCTGCGATTGACTGAAATTCTCCTGTATCGTTGACAACTTTATCCAAATAAGTTTGATACTTTTTATATTCATCCACGTGTTTCTTCATCTTGTCACGAGTTTCTTTCATATAATTTAGCCTATCGATCAAATCGTTGACCTGAAACATACATGTTTAACTCAATCAATGCAATCAATACGATACGGAAACTAAACAAATTTGTTTACTGATATAATTTTGTGTTTTTACTTCTTCCATCCGCTTCGCTTGACGCTCCCGTTCCTCTTTGATTTTCATCTCGGCGCGTTCGCGTTTTTCCTGATTTTCCCTTACGAATCTATTGAATTTTATAAATGATTCACGCAATATCGACTCTTGCAATCTCATTTCCCTCCACTGTTCGTCCATGATTTTTCGCTTTTTCTCCTGTTCGACCCATTTCGCTTGTAATTTCTTCTCGACTTTTGCTAACTCACAACGAGCTCTAACTGCTTCTAATGCCGGGTAAACTCTTGGCTTATCCCATTCCGGATACTTTCTAATATAGAAAACATAGATTTCAGATTATAAAGCATCTTTTATAGATGTTAATTTCTTTTACAAATGAAATGAAAAAAGAAAGTTCACAGGAAAAACTAAGTAGACAACCTTTTTCATACAGAACTTTTTACATCGGTTTTCCTAATTGTTACCGAACTGAAAATAAAAGAATGCACAAAGTGTACTTGCAATGTGTCATATGTTCATTATAATAATTAGTTTTGTTACATTACTTAATGTTACGATCTTCCTGCTTCGACAAGAAATATTCCACGACAGCTTTTTCTGAATTTGTCGTAATAGGTGCTCGTCGAATAAAATGTTTCATTCCTTTATGGTTCGACGTCATTTTAACTGTTTTGAATCAATAGAAATTAATATTTAACGTCAATATTCAATAAATTTTTAACAAAACATCAAACGATGTTATAACTGTTCACAATGTATTGATCAAACAATTTGAAATACAGGTTTGCTTTCTTACCGTCAAAAAGTCCCTAGGTATTTTAATGACGCGCTAATGAAACATTCATTATTCAAATAAGATAGGACAATCGACCACGTGGACACCAGATATGCAAAGGGCGGGTAAAATACACCTAGAAAAATTATATCTAAAATAATTAATTGTATTTTATTTATTTTACATTTTTACAAGTAGGCAATAACAACAATATGAAAAATCAGCGTACGTTATAAGAAAAGTAAACAATAAATATTTCTTTAGATAATTGTTTAATCTTTGAAATTTACGAATGAACCTCCTGTCCCAAAACCGAAAGTTGCTTAAGTAATTGTTTTGCATTAATAAATGTTGTTGAACCATATGTGATTCGTTTATTAAACCCAGCCCCACTTTTCTGTTTTACATAGTCCACTAGATTTTGATATTCTATGTAATTTCCACCACCAACAATAAAAACAATTACATCTTGGAATGTTGGTCGATTCTTTGGCATTTGTTCGGTATGCTTCAGCTGCTTTGGATCTAAATAACAGTAATCGTCCGTTTGAGACGATTGTCTTGATTCCATTAATTCATCAACTATTTTTGTGACTGGTAAATTATGCTTTTTAACAACTAAATTTTTTACTCCTTCCATCACAAAAGAAGATCCTTGATTCATAAGTTTTGAAAACATACTAACTGTCTTAGTTCCACCACCTTCATAACTGTGTTGAATTTCTGCTATTCTAGTATAACTTCTCAATCTTTTGATGTATACTAAAGGATTTAAATCACAACCAGCAGCAGACAATGCTGCCTCAAGTTTATTATACTCGCTATCCGACATATTGGTATAAAGATAATATATAATAGCAAGACGCAACTTGTCCTCTGGAGTACCACAATCTGGATCGCTTATTGTTTCCAATACACTTCTATCTAATGTTTGCTTGCACATTATTTTTTCTTCTAATTCAAAAAATGTATCCAATCTACGAGATTTTATGAAATTTAAAATACCTGTTGCAATTGATGTATGCATATCTATCAATCTCTTCATTTCTAAAAGTTGCGGTAAAGAATTTACCGCATTTGTCAAACGTGCTGTATTATTGGAAACCATTGACAATGCTACTTCGCTCTCATTATCAATACCCATAGAAGATTTAAGTTTTTTAACATCCTCTTCAAAAGTACGATATTGTTCTAGTTCTTCTTGTATAGCCTCAGCTACTCTAGGGAATGGACTGCCCTTGTGTTGGCACCAAAATCTATCTTTATTGTCCAGCTCATAAGCTCTGGTCTTTGATCGTGTTCCACCTGCAGGAGATCTTCCTACATTTTCCTCAACAACCAACCTATTTAAGGCCATTTCCAATACATCGTGTGCTAATGCTTGATATGTCCATGTATGATGTAATAGTGTGGCCATATCTATATTACGATCTAATATTATAAGAAGTGGTCTCTGAAAACTATAATGGCCACTTGTTTCACTTTCAAATAAATTATTTCTTGTGTCCCAAACATTTTCTCTTAATTTTTTGTCTATCATTTTGGCAACCATTTCAGCCGCATTTCCTCTTGGACATCTTATGATTGGAACAGTTCCCAATGTGACAAATACAGAAAACAAACAATCAACAATAATATCCATTACAGATTCCATTTCAGTGTCTTTTACTTCACCTCTGTTAATTGCATGATAAGATATAACATCGCTATTTTGATGTCTAAGAATAAATAAATCATCTTCTAAAGAGATGAAATTTAAATATTGATCAAATACTTTGTGAATATTTGATACAACACCTCCAAGTAAGGCTGCAGCTGCTAAATCTTCCATTTTTTGTCGAGATATCGGTGAGATAAAGTTTAAATGATAAATATCATATAAACCATTCTGTAAATCCTGTCCGATCCTACCAAGATTTTCATCTGTTGGTGCACAAAAGTAAATTGCTGGTACCTCAGGAATAGAATCTCTGTCAGAGTGCAATTGCATGTGGAGGGTAATGCCAAGTTCTCTAAGTTCTTTTACAGATATTAATGGTGAAATAATATCTTGTCCAAGTCGATCGTAAATTAAAACTTTCCATACTGGTACCGATTCTTCCAATTTTTGCTCGGGTTGATTTAAATTTAACATCTGTTTTAAGGCATTTATCTGCCTGTCACGTAAACTCATCATGGTTAACCCGTTTTATAGAAATCTTCACTTATACAAATCTTTTGTAACAAGTACTTTACTACTTCTTAGATGTGAAGTTTTTGTTAGGTTAATATATGTAATTTTAGGACTACATAAAGAACCAAACAATTGGAAATATTATATCTCAAATACATACATATGTCAACATTCGACTTTTAACTGTGGATTGTCAAAAATCATCCACGCAGCATAAAGTTCTGCTAGAACTCAATTCTTGCAATATAGGACACATCAATAGTTCTACGAAATGACGCAAAACCTCTAGACTACTATTAATAATCTTCAAGAAATGTAATACAAAGAACTGTATATTTACAATATCGTTAAAAAATATACATTGTTACATCTAGATACTATGCGAAGTTTTAGATTATAAAATTAAAATCATATGCGAATAATAATTCAACTTGAAATAGTTAGAAGTTTTTTATGATCTTATTGGTAATATTGGCCGGCAGCAAAATGGCGACCTCATTTTACTGGGAAAGTAAAATCAAGGAAAAGTTTGATGTTAATATTAGGCTATCGTGCGTGACATGTAAATAATAAACGAAATTTCAATTATATAATATTAAAAGAACTATTTTAACGTTTAACATATAACATACATTGAATATTCGATGAGTTTTCGGTGATACGTTTCTGACAGCGTGTCCGCAATGGCCGATGACTCTACTTCTCTGCCAAAAAGGCGTCAATTGGTAAACAAACTAAAGATAACTTTGGAATTTAACATTAAATACAGTTGTTTTGTATGAAATTTTTATCAAAGTTAGATGAAAATTTTATATTTATTTTGAATTTAATTATAGCGGGAAAGAACTAGAAAGTTATATACAGATGACTGGACCATAGGCGACGAGGAAATCGAGGGTCGTAGGACTTTCCAACTCGATGAAAAAATTGAGTGTGAAAGATACAACCTGAATAATTTCAGTGGATTATTCCGTGAAATGAATGGTTCTGACTTAAACTTATCGTTCCTCCAAAAGCATGGACTCAGTATACCGCTGCTCTTCAGAGATAAATCTGGATTGGGATTAAGAGTTCCCAGTTCAAATTTTTCAGTTAATGATGTGAGAACATGTGTTGGTATGTTTAACATATCACTTTAAACTAAAGATTGTTGTAATTAAAAATATATCATTCAATATGTTGTATCTGAAAGAAATGTTTGTTTTTAGGTTCCAAAAGAGTATTAGATGTAATGGATGTTAACACACAAAAGAACGAAGATATGACAATGAAAGAATGGCAGAAGTATTATGAAGATCCTAATAAAGAGAGATTATTAAATGTAATTTCTTTAGAATTCAGCCATACCAAGCTAGAAAACTATGTACAATCACCTGCATTGGTACGGCAGGTTGATTGGGTGGATGTTGTATGGCCAAGGCATCTGAAAGAAGCACAGGTAGAATCTACAAATCTTTTGGAAGATATGATGTATCCAAAAGTACAAAAGTACTGTCTGATGTCTGTGAAAGGTTGTTATACAGACTTCCATGTTGACTTTGGTGGAACTAGCGTTTGGTACCATATCTTAAGAGGTGGAAAAATATTTTGGCTTATTCCTCCAACTGAAAAAAATTTATCTCTTTATCAAGAATGGGTACTAAGCGGTAAACAGTCCGATGTCTTTTTTGGAGATATGGTAGACAGATGTGGTAGAATAAGTTTAACAGCTGGCATGACATTGTTTATCCCAACTGGTTGGATTCATGCTGTGTATACCCCTCAAGATTCTTTAGTATTTGGTGGAAATTTTTTACATAGTTTTGGTATTGAAAAACAGTTGAAAGTTGCACAAGTTGAGGAACATACGAAAGTTCCACAAAAATTCAGATACCCATTTTTCACTGAAATGTTATGGTATGGTTATAAAATTATAGAAAACGTAAATTTTTAACTATCATGGTCATTCACATAATCATTATATTCGTAGGTATGTTTTGGAGAGGTACGTTCACGTACTCCTCGGCAGGAGTCACTTAGATATTACCGAATCACAACGTCAACATTCAGTTCCACAACATCATCAGCATCTGCATCTAACACCCTTCGAATTACATGGTTTAAAAGCAATAGTTATGTATTTACACTCATTACCTTCTACTAAGAAGAATGTGCCTGAGCTGATCCACGATCCCGTTGCCTTAATTCACGATGTTCGATGTTTGGTAGAGCAACATAGACACGATAATCCAGACGCGGCTGTAACAGGAAATCCTGTTTTACCACCTCCACCTCCGTTAACAATTGCCGAAAGGGTAAGTGAAACTTACTCATCCTTACAATAGGATGTATTCATTTATAACATAAATTTATTAACAGGAACGTCTGAGGGTAACCAAAAAAAGTTTTGCAAAGATACAAAGGCATCACTCGCAAGAAAAGTCTGAAAGAGCTTTCCCACGACGAAGGCGTACTAGGTGTAAAAAGTGTGAAGCATGTACAAGGACTGATTGTGGGGAATGCATGTATTGTCAGGATATGGTGAAATTCGGTGGAAGCGGTCGTGCGAAACAAACATGCTTAATGAGACAATGTTTGAGGCCCATGCTTCCAGTTACAGCTGCTTGTAAAGTTTGCCGATTAGACGGCTGGGGGCAACCACCTGCACCACTAATGGGTATGTACTTTTTCGTTACGATGTTAAATTTTTAATTAAAGTAATAAGGAGAGGTATTTTAATTTCCGATCTTTAATCCAGGGAAACCAACACCAACAGCTCCATCGAGTTTAGTAGAATGTTCAATATGTTTTGACATTGTACATCCCGAATGCATAGGATTGGATCCTCAAACTATAACCGTTAGCGATGATTTACCAAACAGCTGGGAATGTCCCGAGTGTTGTGAAAGCGGTCGAAATTTAGACTGTAGGCCACGTCAACCTAAGGCTCGTGCTCGAAAACTTTCCGTATCTAGCGCAGCTTCATCAGCACCTACAACAGATTCTGAAAGGGCAACTACACCAAGTAAACGTTCAAGACCCGATCCCAGCGATGTAAGTCCCCAAATGGAATCTGAAACGGTCTAAGAATACGAAATATTCATGGTTTCTATACAAAAAATTCCAGGCATGGAATGACAGAGAACCGGCTGAGGGTGAACAGCGAACAGCTTTGCGTACACAATTAGCTGTACAATTAACTGGTTCAAGTAGTAAGTCATTGAAGAGGCCCCACGTGGTGGTTAGGCCTGTTCCACTTCTGCCTGTTCAAAGACCAGGGCCTGATTTTAATGGACAATCTTTAGCATATGACAAGACAGCATTACTTGCTATTTTTAGATTTTTAAATGCAAAGGACCTGGCGAATTGTGCCTTGGTTTGCCGTACATGGGCCAGATATAGTATAGATCCTAGTTTGTGGAGAAAATTGGATATGTCTCATTCTCATCTAACAGCTTTGCATTTAACTGGTATTATACGCCGCCAACCGGAAAATCTGTCTCTTGACTGGACAAATGTAACTAAAAGACAATTAGCCTGGCTGTTAAGTAGATTACCACAGCTCAGAACATTATCTGTACAAGGTTGTACGTGGGCTGGAGTCTGTGCTTTGAGAACTTGCACTTGTCCGCCGCTTATCACGTTAGACCTCGGTCATGTATCTGGACTAAATGATTCGAGTTTAAGAGAGGTCCTTAGTCCACCTACAGATTCGAGACCTGGTCTAATCGATAAAACTTCAAGATTAAAACATCTTAAAAATTTATCTTTGGCTGGATGTGATATAACTGATGTAGCTTTAAGGTATATAGTTCAACATTTACCTTATCTGGAGACGTTAGATCTCTCTTCTTGCGGCAGAGTTACTGACGCTGGTGTAGCTCAATTAGCAACTCCATCAGCGCAGGCAGTAACGAATTTATCATCACTGAATCTGGCAAATTGTAGATTACTTACAGAAACAACATTAGATCATTTGGCAAGGTGTAAAGTGCTTAAACGTTTGGATCTCAGACACACAACTCAAGTTTCCACTCAGTCTGTAATTAAGTTTGCTGCCAAAAGTATTCACAATTTGCATGTAACGGATGTTAAACTAGTGGAAGAAAAGAAGTTCAAAGTTGAAGTTACGTGAAAGGAAATGTATTTGTTTACGAGAATTTTCGGCAAGTGCAATTTGATTATTGTATAAAACCATGAACAGTAATTAACGTAACGCCGAACTTCGTGGAATAATTATTTATTTGTCATGAAAATCCATCAGCACTGTATCGCATCTTCATAATGTAAGAAAGTGGACCTGACTAGTATAGGATTTCTATTCGATAACCTTCAGTTTTATCGACGTCACTATGCAATTTGAGCAAAAAATACTTGATTCGAAGTAACCAAGGATTATTTTATTTTCTGCTTTTTTTTATAGTAGATGTTGTCTTCCTTTATTCTTAAAGAATTCTGTACGCGTTTCAAAAATATTTTAATGAATATAGAATATTAAATAAGTAATGCAGATTCGATGAACAATATACACAAATGACAAATGTAAAGCTGCACTAGATGTTTTTGCGATTTTTGGAGAAATATATGTTTAGTTCGACGTTCAGTGTAACGAACGAAATCATTACTTACTTAATATTCAGTATTTTGTTAAATAAAGATAAAATATATCAATGTAGAGATTTTTACTGTTGTGCCGAAAAACGAGCGTACGGTATTTGTTTTGCAATTCTATACAGATGTAGAAATACGAAATGCGGGTAAACAGAGATAAAGAGTCTGTAGTCTTGCGAAGAATTCGGCGAAATAGCGTATCGGCTATTGATCACCTATATATTAATAACAAGAAAAGAAAGAGGTATATTTATTTGTATGTGTGATTGGATAAATTTCCAACGTGAAGATCACTAATTTGTTAAGTCGCAAAACTGAAGCAACCTACTGACCATGTAAACTCATTACTCTAACTATAAAAACGAAAGCGCGCAATGAAACATATTCGACTATTCCATTTCATAACGTTAGATAGGTTAACATTACGCTGAAAAATATGTACATTACATTAATGTTTTAATTATTGACCTAAACTATGTTGAAGGTAAAATTTTTTTTTTTTTTTTTTTTTTTTTAATGTAAACGAATGTACATACGATTTTTTTTCATTTTATGAATTTCAGTTTTATTTTGTTAATATGCATATTATGTGCGTAATTCGTGAGTGATAATAATACCGAGCAATAAGAAGTTAAGTACTTGCACTTTAATGCTACCATTAGCTCATAAATTTATTGTATGTACAATTAAAGTATCACGTATTGTTTGTATTATCTCTGTGAAAAATATCACCTAGAAAAACACGAGTTACTCGCACTAAAAAAAGTTCAACATATTTTTTCAACTTAGCCCGCAGTGCAATGTTTTCATTATACTCGTTGATATCGAACTGTTCGTCAGGAATTCATTTTTATAATTCAAGCATATATTAGAAACACTAAGATACGGATAATGTTCTAAACTATGACACTACTGTATAAAAATATGTAATCCACAGAGAACAATAGTGATATTCTGATTTTCAAATATAATTTTGAATTTTAATGATAACGTGATCATCACTACCCCATTCATTTTCGCAACTCGCGTTTCTCCTTTGAGTGTTGTATTTTACACATTAATATAATGTAAAAAGTGAATAAAGCTTATTTAACAAAAAATGATGTGATTATAAAAGAAAGAGTTTTGTATATTAACGATAACAATTATACTGTATGAGTGAAATGTATGTATGTATATACTGTCCACCGATGGCAAGAAGTCTCGCATGACGGCACAGGGGCAAGAGGGGATACTGTGCACATATCGATTGACCTAATTAGTAGATGCAATGTCACTTCGCCAGTTACGTCACGATCGCAAAGTAGGTGCGGCGTGGGGCACGACTGGGCGCGACCAATCCGATTGCGCTATTCTCAAGGAACTTCTTGTTGTCGGTGGTCAGTGCGACGCAAATGCATGTAAGGATCAATGCTTGAGATCTCCTTCGACGCCAGTCGAGTGTATCTTTACTGCGTAGTTGTTCCGAAATTTGTGACAAACATATAATTATTTATGTTGTGTATTTTAAATAAAATATCGTCGTTGAAAAGAAAAAATCTGTGAAATCCAGAAAACCCTGCTCATCGATTAATTTCATTATTAAGCATGTGAGTAAGAGTTGATTTTTCTTTTCGTAATAAGCTATCGGAAACTGTCATTGACTAATTATTGGTCTTTAATAATTTTATATAAACGTTTCTTACATCTGCAAAGAATTACTTTTCTTTTTCTCCTCTTTCAATAATTTTGAGACGTATTTGTCACTCAACAGCGAGACTCTTCTTCGCAAGAACGATAAAGAGAACGCTTTATTAAGTCCTCAAGAAGTCCGAGTGATCAAGAATAATACTGAACTGTATCAAAACATGGCGCATCAAGAACGGGACCCACAAGACAAATACAGCTCCAAAGAGGATCATGCCGTGGAAACTGTGAAAACGACGGACAATCGGCAGTTCGAAATGGAGAAAGGCATGCCTTGGCAACGAATAGATCCTACCGACAAGAATCTCTCCAAGCAAATGTTTCTGTATTTGACTCATAAGGAGTTGACCAATAAAATTGAGGATCTAACTGTGAAAGAATCGCATGCTTGCCAGAAACAATGTTGGGATGTAGCGCTTAGACTGAGGGATATGAGAAACAGATTGGAATTGCTTCGTGAGAAAAAGCTGTACAGCGTTGATAATTTTATTTTTGATGAAAAGACGAAGAAACTAGCATTGATGAACATTGATAAAAGAGAGAACGAACTTGCTAAACGCGAGGATGCTTGTACGGATTCAACGATGTACAGGTTGGTTTTAATTTTCGACTCTTATAAGGCCGTGGCCGTGAGCAATGTTAAGGGTCTAGGACAGATTTGCACTTTTCAGTCGATTTTCAGCCGGAAACAAAATTAAATAAGAAGAAGATAATTTTGCACGTAGCAAGCCGCATAAGACGCGGTGCAATATGCAAATAGATGTTTCTAATCTTCCTCCTAAAAAATTCCAAAAGCTGCTCTAAATTATTTTCATTTCTTATGTAATTTTGTTTCCGTTTAGTTAAAAGGTTCTTTAAGTCATATCTCAATAATATCTCGCGGGTAATGTGGAAAGCTATTGCCAGTATACGTTTACGAGTGATACGCTCTTGAGCCTTGAACGGTTCGTTGGCTGCACGAGGAACGTCGAGGCAAGGGGAATAGCGATAGGCGGAGCCAGCTGAAAATCGAACGAAAACTGCAAATCTTGCCGACCTCTGCTCTGCACGCTTTTCATTCGTCCCTCAATAAATCACAAATAGGATGGACAATTATAATTGTGTGTCTAAAAATTCGAATGGTGAAAAAAGAATTCTATTTTTTTTGTTAATTAAATTCTTTGTCCCTTTGTGTTCCTTTTAGCGAGGATGCCAAAACACTGTGGAAGAAATGGGTGCACGAAGATGAAAGATTCGTGGTCGAAGATGCGCGACTGCGGAGGGAGAAGTTGATGAACATTTTTGAGAAAGCATGGCAGGCTCTTGCTATCCATGACAAGGAACGAATTACTCGATCATATCAGAGTGTGATACACGATGCTATTGTCCAAGAAGAACATAAACTCATGACTTCCCTCAACGCGGCTAAAGCAAAATCTTCGCCGTGAAATAAGTCCTAGATCCATGTTTCGTTAATTTGTAGGCCTGATTATATTGTACCAAGCTTAACAGTAGTTTGCATTTGAATTTTTTGAATTGTGTCGAATTTCGTCGCCAATATTCTATGCTGTTTAGGTGTGTTACAATGTACTGAATTTTAAATGTATTGCATTTAGCACATAATATTGCACGCTAATAAAGACTCATCATAGTCTATAATTATATCGGTACTACAATTTAATGAATAGGTGATATCGAAGCCATTCCAGATTAATAATTAATCAACTAATCTATATTGTATTAATGTTTGAGATGCTTAAACACGCAATTAAAATACCACTCCAATGTTGTTCACACTTGTAAAAATTATACTCGATCGATGAAAGTAATCTGTATTTTTTTTATTTATCATTTTGAGCTTGTTATTTTAGTAGTATTTGTACTGGCAATATCACGGTATTGTTTCTGATGCTATTATAGCTTTTTCAGTGATTGCCGTGTCCAAGATTCGGTTATGTCATAACTGTTTAAAACCATACTTCAACGATGAGGTCACTGTACGTTGCATTATTGACGAAATAAAGTGATTACTGTGGAAATATGACTTTCACTTATGTTTATCCTTATAAAAGATTAATTTCTGATTCTTGAATTTGTATGTCACTGCGCACTTTGAAAAAGGTACCACCCGCCTCATCTAGTGGAAAATAATCCACAAAATATGTATGTACAATTTTCATTAGTTTTACTGTACACTATTAGATGACGCTACTGATAAAGTTTTTGTGGCGGCGGGCGTCGAGATCGATAAGGAAGAGAATGTCCATTAAGAAGAAATTGTCGATGCCGTCTTTATTAGTCGTTTTCGCTCATCATTTATTTTTATAAACAAAATTCAAATAACTTTCCTGAACATTCATTCTTTCCTCGTTCATCAAACTGTGAAGACTTGATAATATTTATAAATTTTAATTGAAATAAGTAATTATAATTAATTCTATAAAAGCATTAAAATTTTAATATGGAATTAGACTTCATATTTTTCGAAATTAAACGATAACAAATATATAATTTCAAATATAATTTTGTCTATCACTTGCTCAATTATTTATATTTGCCTCCTAATTTATGGGTATCGATAACCGAACGCAGACATGCTGCCATATTCACGTGTCATTGTCGCCATACTAAATTCATCCAATTCAAACGATAGGGTTACACATGTATACTTGATGTTACGAGAGTCCATAACTGCGAAAAGACCAGTTGTTGTTCTTTTCTGCGCATTGTCGCTCTGATTGGCGATACTTCCAGCGGAAGTGGAAAGCGATTGGCGGATCGCTTTCCCCCACCATCGCTGCGTTTCCCCACCATCTTCCAACCTGCGCGCTTAGTTATGGACTCTCGTGACATCAAGTATAAGGACACAGTAAGGATCAATGCTAGAGATTTCTTCCGACGCCATTTGAGTGTATCTTTTCTTACCATTTTCAGAGCTGGCGTAGCTTTTTCCGAAATTTGTGACAAACATATAATTATTTATGTTGTGTATTTTAAATAAAATATCGTCGTTAAAAAAAAATAAAGTTTATAAAATCCAGAAAACCCTGCTCATCGATTCATTTCAGTATTAAGCATGTGAGTTAGAGTTGATTTTTCGTTTCGTAATAACCTATCGGAAACTGTTATTGACTAATTATTGGTCTTTATTAAAAAATAACTTTACAAGGTGATAGCAAAAAAAGCATATTAATTTTATATAAACGTTTCTTACATCTGCAAAGAATGACTAACTTACAATTAGTATAGAAAATTTACATGTTAAAACTTTCGTCTTTTGTTTTAATCGATAGACACGTTTTGATGTTTCCTCGTCAATTCGTTGCTCATGTAAATTATTTACCATAGATACTAGAGAAAACAAATTAGCGCGTTTACTAAACGATTGTAAAAAATGGTCGCACGACGTATAGTCCGCAGTTAATATGAACAAAAATTCTGTTTGAGTGTAAGATCATCTCCAAGAGGCGTTTAGGTGAGTGTGCGTGTATTAGTTATGTGTCTATTTTTTTCAGACATAACATTTTCTATATTTTCATATATAATACTTATATGTGCATGTATACAATTGTCCATAATAATATTTAACTGTTCTTTACATTAGCTTAACCTAATTCTGCTAAAACAGAGTCAAGATCCTCTTGCAAAGTAAGGCTTTCTTCTCGTTGCTTTGCTAAATCATCTTTCAGTCTATCAACTTGTGCCTTAAGTAAATAGTTACCCTTCTTTAATGCAGCTAAACGTCCCTCATGTTTTTTAGCTTTTTTCTGTAAAAATATTAAACATACATTTAAAAGAATACGCAATATTCTGTGCATAAATTTTGTAAAACATTTAGAATACTTACCTGTAAAGAATTTCTTTGTCCTTCAAAAGAATCATCTTCATCTTCTGTCTCAGTTTCTTCGTCTTCTTCAGATTCCTCAGATTCAGATTCTTCTTCAGACTCTGTCTCTTCATCATCTTCTTCTTCTTCATCCTCTTCACTTTCTGACACCAACTTCGCCATTTTGTCAACTTCCTTCTGTAGACGCTTAAATTTCTTTTTCTCCTCTTTCAATAATTTTTGTTGTTGCTTAATTTGGTCTTTCAAAGCATGTCGCTCTTTTCTAGCGTTACCTGCTTTATCCCTGTTTAAACAAAATGTTATTTTCTCTCATATATAAAGTCTTAATACATCGATACTCACTGTGAAGTTTTTATCTTTGTTGTCAGAAGTTTGATTTCTCTTTGTAACCGTTTCTCTGCTGCCTTTGGATCTTTCTCATCTTCTTCCTCTGAACTTTCTTCTTCTTCCTCTTCTTCGCTTTCGCTTGGCTCTTTCTTATCTATACTTTTCTGCGAAGCAATTTTTGCTACATCTTTTGCACTCGGACAACCGGCCAGTGCCATTCCTGAAACAGCGTACCAAACTGCTTCGTCGTAATCGTCCGCTAGTTCTATTACTGGCTCAGGCTCAAGCTCCTGTTCTAATCCCCAAAGCGTTTGGTAAAGAAGCAAAATTAGTATAAGCGTAAAAGCATTTGATGGACAATTAATACATTTATTGCATGCAGTGTTAAAACATTGATATTTGCATTGAATGCTGCTCTATGCTCGCCCACGTTATTGCGTACGCGACGTTTGCGAATAAATTAGTAATTAACAGCGAAACTATAATCATTCGTACCGGCTTTCATACGTCTCTCCAAGGTTGCATACATTCTCCTCATTTCTTCTAGTTCGTTCTTGAATTTGTCTCTTTCCTCCGCTACCGTGATGTATTCCTTTTCAAATTTCTCAGCATCCTTTCTGGCTTGTTGAATTTCTTGTTTCAAAGATGTCGTGAGTGCTTCATCGTATTTCTTGTGTTCTTGTACGCTTTTCTTAGATCTCTCCCGGTCAACTTCAGCCTCGAGGTTCAAAATCCTTGCCTATGAAGAAAAACAGTACAGAGAATTAGTAGATTGTTAATATTTTCCTGTTCGAGTTTACAAAAGAATCAGAAATGAAATTGTACTTGTAGTCTCTTATTGTCCCTTTCCAACGCTTCCTTGTTTCTAAGCTCCAGAGCAAGCATTTGCTTGGTACTTTGCAAATCGTCCCTCACCGCATCGATATCGTCCATATCGTCCGAGATCGAGTCATCGGTTGGCTCCTCCGCTTTCTGTATTTGCTCCTCTATCGTCAATTGCCTTCGGAATTTTCTCAGCCCTTGCAGCATCGGTTTCGAACGGTCATTCGTCTGCACCCTTTTTAGCGGTACACCCTGCTGAATCTGCTTCAGCAGTTGATTATGCATGTTCGATTTTTCGGATTCGAACACAAAGTGTGCGTTCCCTAGTTAGAAACACTCAATCAGTACAACCCACCAATCACAAATGCGATACATAATTCAACGCATAATTCTTGAACGAATCTTCGTTCAATTCATTCTAGTCTTCCCATGTTTTATACAACTTGAAGTTTGGGTCATTGAACCGGATCACACACAATCCATTCTACAACTGATTTATTGGAAGAAAGGGGAATAGGAAAAGAGGGGGGATTTATCGATAAAATTCAGGAAATACGAAGACAGTAGTTAATTGAACGATAATAATATTATTCAGCCACAAAAACTGAGGGGTTCTCTTGCTGGAGAACGGGGACAAAACAATGACTACTACAAACAGCTCATATCACAGTCTAGAAACAGAAGCTAATTGAATTTGAAGTTCATTAACAATTCAACTAATTACACTTGTCGATAAAGGGGTCAATTTCAATCAACATTCGCTAGAGGGTAAAAGGAGACTTAAAGGGGTGGTGGGGCTACGAATAAAACAAAAGGTCTAGTAAACGACTAATCGACGAACACGGTGCGACTAGTTTTCTCTAAGAGAATCGGCCAAGGGGAATCGTAGTAGGATCGAAGTTCGATCGACGATCACCTGCTGGGTCAGCTGTAACCTTGTTCACCCTCTCGATCAAGGGCGCACTCCTATCGTTGCATTTCACGTGCCTCAAACGTTTACCGCTTTCCACCTCCTTCATCATACTCGCCCAATCCGGACGTTTCCTTGGTCTTTGCTTTAGCATCTCTATCTTCTGTTGTTGTTCCTGGCTGAGCGGAGGAAGATCCTTGATGATCGTTCGGGCCGGAGGTGGTGGAGGTGGTCTCGGTGGTGGCGGTGGTGGAATAGCTGCTCTCGACGAGCTTTTCGATAGCGTCGGTGCACCTGGTTGCAAGAAAGTTTCATTCAGTGAGAAAATTGTGAATCTTTTCTATTGCACGTGTCTGATGGAAGAAAGAGGGCTTTACAGTGAGTTATCTTAGGGGTAAGTAGATTATTATAATGGGTTTATCAAAAGAGTCAAATTAATGTCTTAATTTTATAACGTTTGATATTCTGATCTGTACTGATTGCGTTTTCCTGTTTTTTTCTAGGATACTCATGGGGTGTTTGATGGGACTAAACGAAGCGGGATGGTTCATGCTGTTACCTGTGGTGCTCTCGCTCTTGGAGAGAGGTATCGTGTCACCTCGAGATCGGGACCTCTCGATTCGAACCTGTCGTTCGAGCTGTGGCCTCGAAATTGGCTCTTGTCGTCCATTCTCGCGGAGCTTCGTCGGTGCCGGTTGACTAGTCGCATTCTTTTCACTTTTAGGCTGTGACGGGATTATTGTGATCTTGCTCTGTTTACGAGGCTGCGCTTCCGTCGAGGGCTTTGCTTCTGCTTTTGGTACACTCTATAAAACAAGAATTTCTTATCATTAGAAACACGATATTTTGCGCTCACTCTTCATTCCACTTTTACACAGAGTTTTTGCAATACCGTATAGGATTCTTTGTTAGTAAAGAAAATCGTGTTCTTTGTAACGTTAACATTCGTTTCAATCACAGTCACTTTATTGCTCATGATTGATGAACATTTAATTCTTCAGCATCTTAGATCAAGACTAGCTGCTTTTAATTTGTGAAAGAGAACCAGAGTCCATTTAACGTAAATTAGTTGTGTTAAAAAATAGAAGGGAAAAAAGGTGTACACCCCCACCTAGTGGTTCTGCTATACTAAAGAAAGAAAGTCTCGAGAATTCTGTTGGCAACTGTCGATGCTCGTTCGGTCGTCTTTAAATAATCCAATTCGCACTTCCTCCTCCGTCGTTTTTCCTCCTCCATAGTAGAATTACTTTTATAATCGATCCGATAACATTTTTCTTCTTTTTCTTTTTAATAAAATAACATCGATATATCGATAGAATATAATGAAATGCGAGGGTAGTTTTGATTTTCATAGGGTTGTGATGGTCAGTGAAACGTAGAAGTAGAAAGATGTCTGATGTGAAATTTGCATATTCGATGTAATTTGTCGACAAATTTGCGCGAAAGCGTAATATAAACTCGTTAAGAAACTGGCGGAAGACGCAGCTGGCAAGACATTTGAAATAGAAACGCGTGTTCTTTAAATAATCGTGACCCAGAGGCTTATATGCGAGGACCCGTGAGGCTGGCCTTCTCTCTGATCTCTCTCGTATCGAGAAAGTGAGATTAATCTACATTACTCTCTGAATAATTTGTCCAGATAGTTGTATAACTTAATCAATTTGAATTGTCGAATTCAATTCGTGTTGAAGTTGAAACAGGGAATATAATTTTATTCGAACAAACCGTCGACATTGGAAGAGGGTGACGGAACGGAAACGAATAAAATGATATTTCTGGATTTCGCACTTGTTGGAAAACTTTCAGTCATAAATTTTCACCCCCGCCGTATCGATACCGAGAAGTGTTCGTAGATCTCGTAAATCGCGAACAGACTCGTCGATGATCTAACTGCATGCAACAGTTGTAAACAATCGGTTGACGTGAACGCTCATGACGTATCCACGTGTCTTCGAAACTTCGAGTAGCACGTTTCTCTCGTTCACTTCGGATCGGTTTTGTCTTTCGGTAATTCAGCGTGGCTCGTTGCCAAAATATCGAAAGTATGCGTTTCGAAGTAAATAAGCGATAGTGAAAAAACGGAAATAAACAAAGTCCACGCTGACGCGTTGAGTGGTATTTAAAAAAAGAAATTAAGGGTGGGTTAAGTGTCGTAATGTCATGAGTCAAGTTCTTCGAAACTCAGAATCGAATCATCATATTTCCTAATAATAATAATTATTAGAAGTGGTTTCGATGCAACGCCCTTGTAAATCTCATCGTGTCCAAATGTTTATAACGCGAACTTGTTACACGACACCCACACCGGGTTATTAATAGCAGAGTCCGGTGACTTTGAAACCTAATATCTGAATGGAAAAAGACTGCAGAATTCGGGCGTCGTTCTTTCTCCCTTTCGTATTTCTAGTAGAACAAATTCGTAGAGAATCAGACATCATGGTTTGCGTACCTTATAAATGATACAGAACTAGATACTAGAACTAAAATAAAAAACTGAACCCAAATCTTAATTATTGTTAGTATAATAGTAATGCTATTTAGAGTTCTCTTTCCTTTTTCTTTTATTAACCATAAAAATAATCCATTAGTTAGGAAATATTAAAATTGTTATTTTTCCTATTTAGAAAATTTCCAAAGGGTCGTTTATTTTTACTTGCGTTTCAAAATGAATATCGAAGAAATAATCTTGGTTTAATAAAGATATTATTTTGAACGAATCATTTAATTGTTAGAAAATGAATAAAAATGACTGCTCACTTTAAGTGTAACTTGAGTAAACGCAGGCGGTTCGTCCGTTATGGGTTTGGAGTCTCTCCTGGAGTTGAGAGTCCATGGTGCAGTAGGCATAGGTAGAGGGTTCGGACCATCCTTGACCCATGGTGGCCTGAAGGTGGTCCTCTGCGGTGGTTGACCACCGGCACCTGGCATTCTTCTTTGTTCTTGTCGCAAGCTTCTTTCTTCCTCTTGTTCTCAACTTTTCTTTTCAAATTCCACCCGTCTCGGTGACACTTTCGGGGTGCTACGTTTCCGCTGTCGGTGACCGCGAGATCCGTACGAAAGAACAACTCGAGGATCCTCTCGAGGACGTGAACGATACGCCACTGACGGACCTTCTGGACGATGAAACGAAATAGGTGGGAGATGATCGGTTTTACGTGGGAGAAACGACGACCCACTTTTCTCAAGACGTTTCACACTCGGGAAATCTTCCGGATTGTGGCCGCGATTCGTCGGTCCCGGTTGGACCCCGAGGGATGAACTATTCCGTGGATCTCCCTTTCTTCCGATCCAGGTACCTCGGAGCGGTAGAAAATGTCGAAGAGCGAAGTGGTTGAGAATTTTTGAGAGTCTGGGAAAGATTGAGACCTGGACCACACATCAGGGCCACGACTGCACCTCCCTAACCGCACGATATTTTCGTCCACGTGACGTCACAGAGAGACGCAAGCTCGAAATAGAAGACGGTCCTCTTCTTCTAGGATGCTTTCGGTGACTCTCTTGATTCAAACGCCTCTTCTCTTGATCCTACCTACGTATCGCACGGCGTCTTGTTTACGATGCACCCCGAGTGTTGATCGACACGAAGGTCGATCGATCTTCAGGGGCACCCAACGCGTCTTCGAAAGCTCGGCGTTTTAGAAAAACATTTTTCATCACCTTAATCGATACTTTATGTAACCTACATGCTTTGTAATTTAATTTGCACTTAAATATAGAAAGATATACCAACAATAAAATACAGAAGAATTTTCGACTGTGTTGTTGTGATTTTAATAAAAACGCAAACAACCTCGGTTCAATATTTTTATATATCTTTATAATTCTTTTATATTCCCATCAGATTTGAGTTGTTTCAAGAGATCATCATCGAGGCTTGTCGTGTTAAAGGGTGAGTCGATTCCGAGAGAGGCAGTACCAGTTGGCAGCCCAGAGACACAACCAGGAGTTCCTCAAGTACGATCATTACCAACAAATCGCTAAATACTACGAGCAACAATGTAGAATCGCGAAGCAATACGATTCGTGGAATTCCAGGGGTATAGATCCCAAGGGAGAGCTTGCGAAGGCTAAGAAAGCTGAAAGATTGCTGGTCAGAAGGAACAAGCTACGAAATCTGTTGAAGGAAGAAGATGAATCATACAGAAACGAATTGGAGGAACAGAAAAGATTGAAGAATCGTAGAGAAGTGCCTTCGTTGGAGCAGTTGAAACGAAAATTAAAGGAGAAACGAGCAGAAGAGAGTCTTTATTTCCCTAGAACCTGTCGAAGATACCAATCGTACTTCGTCTGTCCTAAAGAATCTAACAGTTCCGGTTCGAGCACCCTCAGGGATACCAATCTTCAATATTCACGTGTTTGTAGAGATTCTACAAATCTAATTCATCAGAACGGACAAAATTCTCGCTGTAGTAGTTCTGGTATGAGCAAAGGGAGCAACAGGAAATCGCAGGAACAGGAAAATTTAGATACGCGAAAGGAAGTTCACCGACGTGCATCGCTTCAGTTCTCCAACGAAGTCGTCAGGCCTAACACAAGGTATTCCGCTCGTTACGCGCGCAGGAGTTTGGAAAACACCAACGTCAGAAGTGACGATTCGACTGATTACGGGTCAAACAGGGTATCGAACAGATCTTCCTTTGGAGCACCTAGTGAAACGTATTTGTCACTAAACAGCAGCGGGACTCTTCTTCGCAAGAACGATAAAGAGAACGCTTTATTAAGTCCTCAGGAAGTTCGAGTGATCAAGAATCGTTCCTACAGCAGGATGGGTGATACTGAAATCAATACCAAGGACCTCGCTCATCAGAAAGAGAGTCCTCATAGAAGGTCCCAAGACAACGATAACACTGAGCTGAATCAAAGCATGGAGGATCAAACGGAGACTCCAATTGAAGATCCGCATCAAAAACGGGACCTACAAGACAAATACAGCTCCGAAGAGGATCATGTCGTGGAAGATGTGAAAACAACGGACAATCGGCAGTTCGAAGTGGAGAAAAGCATGCCTTGGCTACGAATGGATCCTACAGACAAGAATCTCTCCAAGCAAATGTTTCTGTATTTGACTCATAAAGAGTTGAAGACCAAAATTGAGGATCTAATTGTGAGAGAATCGCATGCTTGCAAGAAACAATGTTGGGACGAGGCGCTTAGACTGAGGGATATGAGAAACAGATTGGAATTGCATCGCGAGAAAAAGCTGTACAGCATTGATAATATTGTTTTCGACGAGGAGACGAAGAAACTAGCACTGATGAGCATTGATAAAAGAGAGAACGAACTTGCTGAACGCGAGGATGCTTGTACGGATTCAACGATGTACAGGTTGGTTTTAATTTTCAACCCTTATATTGTCAGTCTATTGCGAATTCGATAGGTGGCCGTGAGCAATGTTAGGGGTCTAGGACGACGAATGGCAGATCTTGCTTCTCGAATTAGTCGAACTCTGTCGATGTTGCAATTAAAAATCATGATTCATTCACGTCTCTCGGTATACTACACTTTTACACGCGTTCAGCGCTTTGCAAATGTTTGCCAAGACGTTCGTCACCCTACACGCTCTAGTTACGTCCCTCGATAGATCACAAATAGGATGGACATTTATAATTGTGTGTCCAAAAATTCGAGTGGTGAAAAAAGAATTCTATTTTTTTCTTTTTCTTTTGTTGTTAATTAAATTCTTTGTCCCTTTGTGTTCCTTTTAGCGAGGATGCCAAAGCACTGTGGAAGAAATGGGTGCACGAAGATGAAAGATTCGTGATCGAAGATGCACGAGTGCAGAGGGAGAAGTTGATGAACGTTTTGGAGAAAGAATGGCAGGGTCTCGCTATCCGTGACAAGGAACGAATTACTCGATCACATCAGACTGTGATACACGACGCTGTTGTCCAAGAAGAACATAAACTCATGACTTCTCTCAACGCGGCTAAAGCAAAATCTTCGCCTACATCCTTGAAATAAATCCAGGATCGATATTTCGTTAATTTGCAGGCCTGATTATATTGTGCCAAGCTTAACAATAGTTTGCGTTTGAATTTTTTGTATTGCGTCGTTTTTCGTTGCCAATATTCTATGCTGTGTTAGGTGTGTTGCAAGTAAATTATTAATATGTTTGGGTCGTTCAAAGGTATTGTTTTATAACTTGAAATGTATTGCATTTAGCGCATATTATTGAACGCTAGTGAAGACTCATCATAGTCTATAATTATATCGGTACTACAATTTAATGAATAGGTGATATCGAAGCCGTTCCAGATTAATAATTAATCAACTCTATATTGTACTAATGTTTGAGACGCTTAAACATGCAATTTAAATACTACTCGAATCTTGTTCACTCTTGTAAAAATTATACTCGAACGATGAAAGTAATCTGTATTTTTTTTATCTACCATTTCGAGCTTGTCATTCTAGTCGTATTTGTACTGGCAATATCACGGTATTGTTTCCTATATTATTATAACTTTTTCATTCATTATCATGTTTGCAAGACTTGGTTATATCATAACTGTTTGAAACGATACTTCAACGATGAGGTTACTGTACGTTGCATTATTCAAGAAATAAATTGATTACTGTAGAAATATGACTTTCAATTATGTTTATTCTTATAAAAAATTAATTTCTTATTCATGAATTTGTAATTCACTGCGCATTTTGAAAAAGATATCACCCGCGTCATCTAGTGGAAAATAATCCACAAAATGCAATTTTCATTAGTTTTACTATAAGCTATTAGATGACGCTAGTGATATAGTTTTTCGAAATTAAACGAAAACACAATTTATTTATAGATGTAATTGTTAGTTTTCATTTCCTCAGAGACGCCAATTAATACTAGTTAATATTAAACTAATTTTGATTTTCTGTTTAGTTGTATAAACGCCTTAAACCGGTAAGGTAGGGAAATATTTCCCCTAATGCCCACTAGGTGGCGGGGTGTGGCTGGCAGTTGAATCGCGGCAATGGTGCGTAGAAGTTGTGTCCGTTCTCCGTAACTAAATTTCTCCTAATTATAATTATTTGTGTTGTCAGTGCAAGTTTAAGTGAAAATGGATACACTAATGACGGGATATTGGAGAAGCGTAGCTGCCTACGAAGCAATATCAGCCCATGCACATATTTTGCAAAATAACAGTTCTTCAAACGGTAAGTTTTTCAAGTAAATTTCGCATGCCCGTAGTTTAAGCAAAAACATACACAGGTTTACACGAGTCGTATAATTAGGATCAAAATGTAGCAAAACTCGTTATGATTAATGTATTTGTGTCTGATAATATATCACAACATTCATTACTCAAGTAAGAATTATCAGTTTGGTGTATCAAATGCTAATGACGTCATTTGGCGCCATTTTCGTTCGTAGACACGGATTCAAATCGTAACCTAAGGTCGCCATGATTGTTTTATTTTTTCTTTCGAAAGGATAGCAAAACATATGGTTGTCATAGAGTAGATTCAAGGAGAATTTCGTTTTTCTAACTAGCGTATGTGATTAGTCACGAGTCAAGGCGAAGAAATCGAGGGTGGCAGCGTTGGCACATTATTACTGTTTCTATTCGGAACTCTTAATTAAGGGGTCGTGGATTTCTCCTTCCAAAAAAAGATGCGAAAGAATTTCCAAGGAATTCGCGGTAGAGTAAGCTAGGTGGTCGCCATTAATCCTCGGGCATAGCCGGTGACAACGACCAAATTAGTCGGCCGATCCGTCAAAAAGAGCATTTCCGTGGTAGGCGTGCATTATATCCATCGCGAGGTCCCCAGTCACATGGTATTTCATGCGCAGACGCGCCTGCGCAGTCTTCAAAGTTCGCGGTAGGATTTATTACATTATATAATTTAAACGTTAACAAGCAAATGATTTCTCAAAATATCTAAGAAAAAATTTCAAAGTAAAAATGATTCAATTTAAATATTAACAAAGCTATACTGGAGATTCATAAACCTATAAAATTTCACTAAATCATTATCCAGTTCACTTTACATTTGAATACCAAAATAAATTATCCTTGTTACGTAACAATATACAATATCGTATCGAATGGCGCGCGATTTGAAATTCAAATGCGATAATTTAAAAGCTATAAATTTGAGTCGATTTGCGGACAAAATATGAGCTCTAGCCCGTATATCTACCTTGTATCCTTAACGACCGTGCAAGACGCATCCGCCTGGTATTTTTCAACGGGTCATCGATCCTCAAATTTTCCTGTTAACGTTTAAATCACACCCACACTGTACATATTGGACGTAGACGGAATGAGAGAGACGGATAGAGAGGAAAGGGAGGAGAAAGAAATATAGTTTGTAATAGGTGCATCGTGCGTGCAATGGCCCGTGAAAGCTGACTGTCTGCTCGGCACCCAAGAGAAGAGGGATGCAGCCACGCCAGCTATGTTAATTAAACGCGTTTCTAGCCCCCGCATAGGAAATCAGAGAAAAAAGGAGATGAGACGAGCGGTGCTCGAGGAGATGGGCCAACGTGAAAGAGGGTGCCGGCTAATAACACGTCCCGTACGACGAACGCACGCCACACGCCCGTCTTCTTCTTCTTCTTCTTCTACCTCTTGTACCTCCTCTTCCTCCACCTATTTCCCTTTATACTTCGATGCTGCTCTCTTTTTTATCCCTGTTTCTCGTTGCTTCTCCTTGAACGCTAGAATGTCATAAGAATTCAGCCAATTTCAACAAACTATTTCCAGATATCTCATAAAGAAATTGCAAATCGCTAGCGGTATTCTGATCAAGGATCTTTAGCTTTCTGCTATCATTTTCTTATAACTGAGATCCTACATATTTAATTACAAATCATTTCACTCTATCGAAATCTCGTGCCATTGAATCGTCGAGTTTGAAACCGTGATATCTGAAACTTTGAGAAATTATTTCCGAGCCTGAACGCGTTCTTATTCCCATTTGTTTTGGCCCGCGTATCAGGGCAAAGGGGATGCGATCAACGTTCAAGGCCGACGCGAAACTTTCTGATAACGAAACGAATAAATTTTCGACGAAAACTCGTGAGCGCACAAAGTTTCCCCGCGAAGATTTATCATCTTGCTTCGGTCTCGTCGGCGATTCGCGGACTTACAAACAAAACATCCCCGTTGTACGTCGAATCTGATGAAAACTGTACGGAAGATGAACGAAAATGCAGAATTGAATTACCGAACGGTATTGATAATCCTTATTGTCCGAAAATACTTAATGTAAAAACGTTCGCAAACATATTTGCCCAGGAATTTTATTTCATTTCATCCTCGTTTCTTCGTGGATTAACGAAACTAGGTACCTGGCACACGGCGTTGTTCTCTATTGATTTCATCGGACTCGTTTATCGTATTCAATTATCGGTTCGGTAACGCGATTAAAATCTGCCGCCACTATGACACCGTAAACACCAATTATAATACATTATTTTATTTAACGGATATTTAATACAGCGGCAATAATCACGATTTACCGGTTTCTCGTTTCACGACCAAACGTCCTGATAGAGCGTACAACTCTCGTTGCCTTTGAAAGGTTGGGGAACAAATGAAAATTTTACATAATCTCCAGTATTTTTTATATAGGTTTAATGTATCCACTACATCACCGTATGTAACGTAAGATCTTGAACGCGTTTCGTCGCGCCTCTTTCCGCTGTAAATCGGGTTTAAAGTGGCCGAAATTGCGACCGAAATTTCGTCGGTACTCGAACATTATGTGCTACAATTTGCATCTTGAGCCCCCGGTTTCGTTTTTTTTTTTTTTTTTTCATTCTCTCTCGCGAGTCGATACTTAATTGCACGTGAACGGTGCTCCCGTTAGGTGGTCGTTTCTTGGAAGCGTTCAAGTTTGCCGGAACTCGGATAGGAAGGAAACGGTGGAAAAATTATTGGGGTTATTCGGAAAGTAAGGCAGGTGGCACAAAATGATCGTTTTCGCTCTTAAAGTGGAAAGAATTAATTTGTGCATCATCACTTTTCCAACGAGCCTCGTGCGATCAGTTGATCGCAAAGGAACGGTGTTCGCTCGAGGAGAGACAAGGGTGGCGAAGCACGCGGCGCGAAGCGTTGGAGAGTTAGATTCGAACGCGCGGCTAATCTGTCGACGACAGAGAATTTTCCTCGATGATTAAGCGCTTGTCAGACATATGCCGTCTTCGTCGCCTTTCTGTACGCCGAGCCACGTGGTCCGTGTCTGCGTTTCCGTGAAACCTACCAACCCCTCGAGCTAACTCGTCTACCCGTGCCATTGCTTCACTAATTTGTCGGTAGTGTAACTTTAGCCGGCTAAAGTAGCTTTTTTTTCGGCTCGTTTTCGTGTAAGCGTTAAACCGGAACGCGTCTAATTTCCGTGTAACATCGTGACCAGGACGCGGCGTTTGGGGGTGGAGGATACGTAGTTGAGCGCCGGTGAAACGGAAGTCATCGACGTTCGGTAATTATCAGCTAGTTCAAATTAGAATACTCTGGTTAACACTTCGGGATTACCACTGGCCTTCGAATTGCATTAGACTGTTGATATTTCGAAATCGATAAACAAATAACTCGTTTGCTGGAAAAATAAACGTTGCGCACAGTCGGTCTACCAATGATGCTCTAAATAATAACGAGCAAGAAGAAGAAGAAGAAAAAACTGTTGCCGGCTCATTTGAGACTTAAAAAAGACCACCGAGCTAACCCAGACCGCAAACTGTTTCGCGAAAATCACGTTCAGTGCATTTCCATTCCCGTCCGTTCCGTCCTCAAAGACACGCTTTAATTATCTGGCCGTGAATGCCGTGAGAAAATCGTTTCGAGGTAAGAAACAAAAAGATTCGTTTGTTTTTTCTTCTCAACGCCTTTTTCCTATGAAAAATAGAAATATTAATCTGTACTCGAAAACAACGGACGTTCGTTTCCAACTGCAGAATCGGGAATTAATGGAACAATTTCAAGTAAAAATTAAACTTGCACAACGACACGATACTCGGAGTTGATCGAACTCCCACGCGATGACAAATTTTCTTTTTTCATAACGACATAAAAGATAACTTTGTTAGTATTCTTTTTTTTTTGCGCAAATCTTGGAGACTGCGTGTAATTACAACCCTACGAACATAGGGGACATTAATTGCAGAGGCCCGTGGATTATGATTAATTGCCGCATCGATAATGATTCATTGTCGCGTCTAACGATACTTTACCGGTAACATCTTTCTCAATGAAGGGGCTATAATTACGCGGTTGAAGGACGGTGAGCCACGATTTCGAGACTCTTTTCAATTTCCAGATAAAGGGAGTCTGTCGTTCGCGCGCGGTTGAATTGTCCTGGCCGAGTACGAAAGGAGCGTTCGATTAAACCGCGCGTGCCCTGTTACATAATTTTCTAACAACATAAATTGAGAGGTGGTCGTATCTAAAACGCCCGATCGGGAAATTAAGCGAACCCCCTGCGGGAAACTCGGAAACTTCTCGTTCGATATTAATGAAAAACATGAATTACGTTTGTACAGAAGTTCGCTATTCTGAAAAGACTCCTGTGTACAGGATGTTTAAGAAATCATTTAGAAAAATGATGGATAGCAGAGTGTTCAAGAGTGAAAGCAACCGATCTCAGTAATTTCTAAATCTTTTCGTTAGAAATGCTGGAAAAATTGGTGGAAAAGAGGTGGCAACGGTCTGGTCGAAGGGAAATATATATTTATAAAATTCATGGCAGACGTCTGTCTCGGTTAATCGGTTTCCCGAGGACGTTGATCAATTTCGTGTAGAAAGGGAGGATGCTCCCTTCTAAACTTCCCTTTCCAACCTTCACCCTCTCTTCATCATTGCCTCTATCCTCCCTCTGGCCTTCCTTCTACTCGTCCCGTTTACCTTGCCACGGCTTTCGTCCCTCCTTTTCGAGTCGACGAAAAAATGCCCCTTTAGGGCAGGACTCTGGTAGCTTCCGTCGTCCCGAGATCCTCTTCCCGCCTCCGGTTCACGTCAATGCCGCCACCTCCACCTTTTCTCCGCTCTCTGCCCTTTACGTTAAAGACGCGCAAAAATAAAGTTGCTCGCGGTTGTTTGTGCGCAAAACCATGCGTATGCATCTACATTACCGTCCAGAAGTTTCGTTGCAGCTGCATTCTTTGGGTTGAAATGCAATTTGCAGTGCAAGTAAATGCAATGTTATATAAAATT